ATTACATTCTATATACTTTTTATTCCATTTTAGTTAACACCTTACATATGATAATTTTCTGCAAGTGATCACAATGACTGGTTTGTCTTCACTACATGTAATTCAGAAGTCTTTGGGCAAAAGACCTACAGAGTCAGAAATTAATTAGAAAATTCTCAGAATGGACTAGTTTTCCATAATCAGTTATCAAATAATTTAAATGACAAACATGACAATACAGTTTGTTTGCTATGGGCTATTATATATTAGAAAATTGAACTGCAAAATCTGATAAAGGCACATTAATGATATTTTGGTAGGGCTTCAAGTAGCAAATGCATATAAAAATGATTGGAAATTATTTTGAATTAATTTTCAAATATTCTTTTAATTTTATACTATCAAAGAATAAGATAGTAAGACACGTAAAATAGAGATTCCTCCTTAAAAATAAATACTAACTACAGACTTGGTAAAAAAGAATAATATTGTACGATTATTTCTCCTTTGGATGAAAGACGAATACATATGTTCAACATGAAAGTGACTGCCTTAAAAGTTGAAAAATGAAACTGGTTATTTTTCATCAGTTGCTCTTTTTAAAAGACATTGCTAAATATAACAGTTTTAACTTAAAAGTGAAGTTTAAATATGTCAGTGTTCAGTGTGAACCATGGCTACAACTAGATTTCTAATGTTAAAAAAAAGTCTGTGCTTCTCCATGTACTGTCACATCATGTTATCCAATAAGAAATGTATGTATAAATTTGAGAGTTACATTGTTAATAATACATGATTCTATACCAGTAATGATATTCTTGAGAACATTTGTCTATGGACTATTTATATATTTTCTGATTATACTCAAAATTCAAAATATAGCCTTAAAAAAAGTGTAAGTATAGCCAAGTTCATTCTTTAAATGTGTTCAGACCTTCGTTGTTTCAAGAAACAGAGATGTGTGAATATAGTGTAGCTCATTAAATACAGTGAATTTTCTAATGAGTTTTAGTAACTTAAATGCAATTATACATGCTAACAGCTCAAAGATTTAAATTTTCATTTTCAGGAATCTTCTATTTGGTTAGTGCCACCCTACCATCCAGACACTGTTTAGTAAACTTTTGAAACTTACTAAAAGAGGTTTTTAATAATGGTTAGTATCCATGTGCCTTTCCTTTTTTTCTTTTTGTAGTCTGTTACATGAATGTGGAGAAACTTTTTTTGTTGTTATTTTCACCCTAAGGAACTTACTTTATTTAATGACATGACTTTTGAATTTCCCCTTCTAGAGAGGGGTGATTTGACAGTCAAGATAGCTTACTTTTTAAATTCTTTCTTTCTTGCTTACTTGTCTCTCTTCCTTTTTTCTTTCTTTCTTCTTCTTTTTTAATTTATGATAACCTGATGAACTCCTGTTTTAAGTGCACTTCGGTTTTTCAAAGCCTTATTTCTTGGTCCACTAAAAAGGCTTTATAAAAATTCCAATGATAATGAGAAGTAGGAAATACAATTTTCTCTATTGTATAGAAAATATTTATTTAAAAGGGAGACAGTAATTTTTGGCAACATACAGCCTGAGGAAACAACTATATTTCACAAAAATATCTGTAGGTTAAACTTTAGATTCGTACATAGATTTAGTAAATGAATTTACATTTTAAAGCTCTAAAAAAGAAAATAATATGTTTGCACTAGTGCCACAAATGAACAGTATTTTAGGATATTATTAAATTCCTTTACCTTGTCATGTTGATTCTAAAATCTTGCTCACATCAGGAGTTGTTCATAGTTTTATGATGGATTACAAATATTTTGTGAGAAGAAAAACTATTGTCTAACCGTGACTTTGTTAGTAAGCAGAGATAAAAACTATTTTTCAAGTAAACTAATATTTATAGGTCAAAAAAGAGCCGGCAAAATTCAGTTTATTCAGAGAAAATGAATAAAAAATGATAGTTTGAAAACAAATAATCAAGGCTAAAGATTGCTCGATTAAAATGTTCACTTTCCAATAGCCTTATACAACAGAGCCTAGAATGATAACCATGAGGTTTTACATGTATACAATTTTGAGATAGTGTCTAAATTTTTTAAATATAATTTACTTAAGGTAATTTTAAATTATAAAAGTTTTAACTATTCTGGTCTTTGATTAGAACAGTTTCTTCAACTATATTTTATACTACTCAGCATTATAAATGCGAAACTATATAAAATTGCTTAAAATAGTTTTATATATTTTTGTTTATAGTCTGAGGTAAGTATAGAGTACTTAATACAGAGTGTATTTCTTAACTTACTAGAAATAAAATTGAGCCATTTCATAGTTCAATATGTATGTATACTTATGATTTTTTTTCTAAAAAATAATCTGGTTAGACCACTCTCTTAGTATGGAAAAAATTAATTACTATTTCTATGGATTATTTTTTGAAATTAATGCAGTCAAAATGTCTGAATATTCAGATTTTCAAAAGAGAGTGTTACAAATTATTTAACATTTGGGAAATGCACTGGTTTGAAGTGAAGCTTTATGTCAAACAATTCAATATTATTCATATCTTATAACTTTTTAAGGGTCATTTGGGATCAAGGTGTGACCTTGTCATCGTCTAATCAATTCTTCTGTTAAATGTTTCAACAGAGAGCCAAGACTAAGTTACCTCAAGACTATGTATCCTTCCCCCTTTTGGAGACAGATTTTTCCATTTCTTCAGTGTTGTCACCATCACCATCTTCATCATCATTATCATCCTGTTCTTAATAAGTACATCTAATAGTACGTATTAAGCAATACACATGTCCATACACTGGCTGTCACGTGCCATATAAATCCTTCAATATAAACATAATTCATGAATTTCAGGACCTTATAATTTAACACATAATAAATATCACATGGCACTAACTCTGTAGTTAATGGGAAATTCACAAGCAGTATTTTATTCCTCACCACATAACAAGTGCTAATAAATTAATATTTTACTAAATTAATGTTATTAAACAAATACTAAAGTTTTGCCTGATTTGATTACTTTTATAAAACACATTTTGCTAAACTTCTAATTCTGGAAACAAAACAAAACCTATTTAAGGAATTGAATTTGAAACACTGTTAAATATGAGTTAAAATATTAGGGTCATGTGTCCTTTGTTGTTTATTCAGGTAGCACTTAAAGAACACATATGTGTACAGTCTCTGCCATGAGAATTTGATCTCTGCTCTTTGCATGCGATTCAGTGAGAGTGACCTATAGAAGACCTAGGGGCCAGATAGAAGAAATACATGATAATGAGTGCAAACTATTGAGGGAATAAAACTAAACCCAGTGAAAATAGTGAAGCTGGTTAATTACTGAGGTAAGGGATGAAGATGTAGTGTAGGAAAGATGAAAGAACTTGGCAGGGCCCTAGAGCAAGGAGAAAATGGAGAGCCATTATGAGAAAAATAGGATATTTGAATTTGACCTGTTTCTTAGACATTACTGCTATTAATAAATTGGTGTTAAAAATATATTATCCTGGTATTTGTGAGCCTTTTGGGAAGCAGTAGGGTGGTTATAGAGTTAGGAAGACTATGACTATGGAAACTATTCAATGAACCATAAGAGGAAAAATGAGGATCTGGTCAGGGATGGACAAGAAGATACTAGAGAAGGGTCAAAAATCACAGAACTCTCCATCAGGATATTCTGTTGGAATCTCTGGTGTGAGATGCAGAAAATCACCCACCATCTCTCTCAACCAGTTTTCTCTGTCACACAGATGCCTACTTTAATTCAAAGTATTATTTTTAATGTCACCAAAGATTCTGCATGCAAAATCATTTTTAAAAATATGACACATAAAAAGTATTTTTATCTAGTTATCTAGGAATTAGCCTGAGTTGATAAATAACAAAGCTGCGACACATAAAGCAAAAATAAAGTCAATCACATGCATATTTGCTTTGGTTTATTTCATTATGTTTTTACATCACTTTTTGTAGTTGTGTAAATTTTTCATACTCGTTCACATCTTTGGTTGCTGTCCACATTTTTGATACAGCCTAAGTCTTAGACCATCTGAGCTTCAATATCATACACAGCTGGTTTATGAATCTGATTTAAATGCAACTAACACACATGTATTTCAATCAGGTTCAGAGTAACTACCAAAATTTTGCTTCACATATATGACTCTAATATGAATCTTGAGGAATGTGTAATAATAAGCTCCACATATAGAGTTTCTAGCAAACCTATTTCTAATGAGATAGCAATTAAGTAAAAAATATATTTCTAAGGTCATTTTTTATCCTCATAGGATAGGTTATTTACCAACTTTCAGTTATCAAGCTGATAATAAAAAAGATTAATATTTTTATTGCTTTTTAACTTGGTAAAATTTGCCATTTTATGATTAAATCACATTTATTTCTAATCACCATTCATGCTTTTATGCATAATCACAGAAAAGATAAAATGAAATATTCAAAATTATATTCTTCTTTTCCTGTCTAACTGCGTGAGTGCTGTTTTTGTTCTGTTTTGAGATCCTCAGTGAAAAGTCCATGTTTACAGGAAGTTTGTATATCCCATGTTGTGATCTAAAAAGTAGTGTATTTCTTCTATTTTTTTTTTTTAAGTACCAAGAATGCATTTCTGGTTGTAGATTTGTGTATATGTGTATGTATTTAAGTTTTTAAGTTTTATGGTAGATCTTTACCTATAATGCTATTCTATGTTATAGAGTGCCATCTGAAAATCTTATTCAAGATACATGCAATATGTGTGTTAGTAATTAGCAGTTCATTTTGGTATCAGGCGGAGATTTTCTTTAAGCCAGTCCACCTTGATAACATATTTTCATTATCGTGTGTTGTGTATTAAAAGTGTAACAATTTGTTTTAACGTCTATAATAATATTTTTTTCAAATCTAGAAGCTTCTTTGTTGATTGAGAATTATTTTAAAATTGTTTCTGAACAGAGGCAGTTTGTCGGTTTTATAATACTTATATTTTTCTGTTCTTCTATAGAGGTCCTTCTGTAGCGCCATGGTTGAAGAACTGAGGATGTCCCTGAAGTGCCAGCGTCGGTTAAAACACAAGCCACAAGCCCCAGTTATTGTGAAAACAGAAGAAGTTATCAACATGCACACATTTAACGACAGAAGGTTGCCAGGTAAAGAAACCATGGCATAAAGCTGGGAGGCCAAACACCCAAGCACAAACTGTCGTCTTTTTCCAAACAATTTAGCGAGAATGTTTCCTGTGGAAATATGCAACCTGTGCAAAATAAAAATGAGTTACCTCATGCCGCTGTGTCTATGAACTACAGACTTTGTGATCTAAACAGTTGCAATGATCAGACTTGATTTACAAGCATCATGGATCAACCAAGTTACACGGGGTTACACTGTTTATCATGGGTTCTTCCCTTCTTCTGAGTGAATGTTACATACTCATTTTGTGGCTGGTTTCAAATGCAGTCCAGTGAGAAATTATAGGTTCTTTTTGAAGTCTAACTGTTGCCTGGAGATGGAATATCAATGCCCAACAGGGTAACCAGTAAAAGAATCATTAAGAATAAAAATACTTGGAATCAGCAAAAACTATAGTGTTACAAGAAACAGTACAGTCTTCTGAACTCCCAGATAATAGAAGTGATGATGTACTAGCCCCCAACTACTCAGTATAATGATCATCTGAATAGACAATATGTGTTCATAGGATGTGAAACAAATGTAATGCAAAACAAATCTGGATTTCATGGCACGTGAATATAAAGCAGATCGTCATCAGTTTTATTTTTATTTTGTTTTTTTTTTTTTCTTTTTCTTGACAGTCTGTGTCATTGATTGAAATAGAAATGTCAATTACCAAGGCAATAATTTTTTTTCTTAAAGCTCCAAGGCAGGAGCTTTAACATGCTACTCTAATTCCTACCTATCACCCACCCCACACACTCTTTCACCAACCCCATCCCAAGAATAAGAAAGCAACAGTTGGCTCAGTGGTTCTGAGTTAAAAAGGATGATGTTTTGCAATCTTTGTCATAAGTTGTAGAAGAGGGCTGAATATTTATAGTTATGTGGAAGACTGAAGCTTTCATTCTAACATTCAGATATGTCATTCCAAACCCTTGTTCCTGCCATAAATGAACTCGATGGAGCCTGGGAAGACCTTGGTGGTAAGAGAGAGGGGACTGGTCACCTATAGAAAAGTATGCAAGGAGAACTTTGAAGTGGACTGCATTTATCAATACAGTCACGATGTTAAATGAACAAAATCCTTGAGCAGTTTTTTTCAAAAAAATGTTCAGGTTTATTTGTGGAAATGCAAGATTTCTATGAAAATAGTTTTTGTATGGAAATTTTTGTAATACTTTTTATCAACAAAATAAGAACATGTGTTCCAGTCAGGGGTGTGATGTCAAGCACGAATGGTAGTGCGTGTGCACCACCAACGTTTGGTGAAAACTATTTTTATCAAGAAAAAAGGAATCATAGAAGAGAAATATTTTCAAGTTAGATAATATAAAAGCTAGGTGCACTACCACCACTGCTTACCATGCCACACCTCTGGTTTCCACGAGGCTGATAACATACTGTAATGAACAATTGTGTGTAAAATGGTAAAAGACACAGACCTCTTGACAACATTGTGATAACAGTTGAGTGCACACAGTTTGCTGTTTGAATCCAATGCACAAAATTTAAAAAGAATCATTAAAATTATGTCCATTTTGCTTTCAGCTTTGACTTTCATTTTTGTCTTGTATCTGCACATGACTGCACAATATGTTCTATTTTATCTTTGCATTAAGGGAAATGCACATCTTGAATAGGTCATTAAGGATGGCCACTTCCCAATGACCTGGAAAAAAAAAATGAAAGCTTGGGGGATGAGCTATCAGGGTCGAGAACAAGCTGGACTAGGAGATACAATGTGATCTTTAAGTTGAGAGCAATTAAAATGGGGAAACTAGCATGTTCTTGAGTTGACAGTCATGGTCTTCTTTTACAAGTGGATATTGACTATATTTATAGGCTGTGTAAGACTGTATAGTGATCTCTGATACATATTTGAAACTCAACTCATATATAATTTAAAAATTCCTTGTGCATTGATAATTTAATGTAGTTCAGTAAAGAGAAAGGAAAATATAGGCTCAATATCAACAGTTAGTAATGATGTGGTTTAGATGTTAGTACTCTAACAGAATCTTCATCATAAATTATAACATATACTTTACTAAACAAAAAACATTTTGAAAGTGTCCATTGTAATCAGACCCCCTGACGAGAAACGAAAAGAGACTTTGTAAAGTTTTCCTTAAACTTAACAAAAGTTGTACAAATTGTCTAATATCTAAATTAAATTAAAAATTATATGTCCAAGTGTTTTCAAAATTTCTAGTGTCAGGTTATTTTATATCAAAAAATTTATTTCAATGATAATTGTGTCCCCAAATTTAATTTTAGAGAATTAACAAATCACTGCTAAAAAAATCTCAGCATTGATTTGTTTAATGGGAAATAACTTGAAATAACATAATTCTTGAAGAAATTTCAGATAATATTAAGCTTTTTTGTCACTCCGATTGTAATCAGATTTTAAAGCACTTTTGAATTTCAATTTCTCATTATGCTAAACTAACTTGATAAAATAGGCAGGAAATAATAACTTTCTATATATATATTTTTAATATCCAGGAAATAATTATTTAGATTTTGGTAAAATTTGACAGTTATTTTATTCACATTTAATTAATTAAAATAATTAATTTGGAAAAGTATAAAAAAACCTGTTGTTTCTTAACTTTACAGGTGATATTGTTTGTATAAACAATGTTTAATATTTAATTTTTGTCAATTTCCTAAAAGGTGTCTACATTCTTGCCAAAACAGGTACTTCCCTACTCATTAAGTGCTTATGCATATAGGAGATCCTAGTCCTGATTCTAATAAAATCCTGATTATTTGTAATTGGCAAGGATATAATATTGCCATTTTGTTCTTACTAATTTTTTTTTCTAACTCTGTATGTATAGGGAATGCTTTCACAATAAAAAATAAATATGACTTTCATAAAAAAAATTCACAAAATGGAGCCTGTGAACATTTATGAATGGGGAAGATTTCTATTTTAGTACCTGTCAAATAATGCTAAATTTGGAAGCCAGTGTAATGTATACCCTTACGGCTTAGGTCTAATTCAAAACACTCCAACTTTAATTTTATAGGGCTCAAGAAACATGTGTTACAATATAGATAAGGAGCACTTTCTTAGTGAACCATGCTGAACTATAAGACTTTAGCAATCTCTTTTAATGTATTGCCTTACACCGTACCTTGCTTTCGGATTTATTACGAACCTAATTTAAGAGTGATTTTTAAGCGAATATGTTCCTGCTTCTTTGCAAGGGGGAGTTGCTGTTTGCCTCTATTTTCAACTAGAGAGTTCTACAATATTGTACTTGCAAAGAATCTAACACTCTTAACTGGCAATATATTTAACCTTAAAATCAATCTGTAGAGCTTATATATAGTATCTAATCCAGAAATGTGAATTTAATGAAAAGTCTACCCTATATTCCACTCACCTTGACCAAAATTTAGAAGTTGAAAGGGGGAGAAAAAAAAGACACACTACACTTAGGCTTGTTTTATAATATTTTATTTTAAATTTTTATCTTGTCTCAGCTTCTATTTCCAAGATTGTCTTAAGGTTGAAGATAGTTGCTGTAGCTCCAGCCACTGTATCCACATTTCCACCAGGAGGAATGTGAAACGGGACATGAAAAAGGTCTTGTCCTTTCCCTGTAAAGGATAAAAAACAAAAACGAAACCTGTTGCTGTTTAGTCAGTCCCAACTCATGGTGACCCCATGTTTTACCGAGTAGAACTGCTACACAGGGTTTTCTTGATTGTAATCTTTACAGAAACAGATCTCTAGGCCTTTCTTCCATGGCACCCCTGGTTGGGTTCAAACTGCCAATCTTTTTGTGTCATCTACCACTACCATTCTATTCTTATTGGATTCTCTCTTATCTTATTGTTCTCCTTTAAAATTCTTATACCTCTATCCTGGATTTCCTCTTATAATTCTTTTTTTTTTTTTTGAAACTTGACAAAAAAAAGAAAGCAGTTGGCAATTTTTTTGCTCTGAAGACTATCTTTCCATTTATAGATACAGGTCTACCTTATAGTCACCATTACTTTTGATTTCCAAGATAGTCTTTTCCATTCTTTAAAAACCTCGACACCATGATTATAATTGGCCTATTAATCTGTGTCCTGCCATATCATCTAATGCACACTTTGTTTATTTAAAAAAAAAAAGAGATCAGTGAACAATCTTATAAACCAGGCCCTATGTTAGATACCGGGGATGCAATGATGATTAAAAAGAGACATGATACTTGCCCTCATAGTTTGGAGTCTAGAAGAGGAGGCAGACCTCAATCAAATGTGCTAGTAAATACAGAAATACAGTCTGAAAAGTACTGTCACAAGAAGTGCTCCTTTAGTTAGATTCTGTTGAATGATAAGACTTCTCTCACTAGGTCTCAAACAGTATAATTTATTAATTGGAGATATAAAAAGCTGATTTAAACTTATAACGAATACTCAGGGAAGTATTTATTGGTATAATGCAAGGTATTATTAGTTGATGTCTTCATCCTAGAAGTACATAACTTCCTTTGGCTTCATACCTTGGCACAGGGTAGGATCCTTCCAGCTATGGAGAAGATAAACAGACACATAAACTGTGTTGGTGCATTACTGTCATTGTATTACTCAGGCAGGCAATTTTTCATTATGTACAAAATATGACAGCATACATTTACTAAGTATTTCTCTGACTTACATTATTCCCATGTATATTGAAAATGTTCTTTTGGCCTCACATAGGTGCAAGAAGTATTTCACCAGTTCTACTTTTATTAGAAACTTTCTTGCTTTTCTTGCAGGATACAAGTACTCATTGCCCTAACACTGTGAACATTCTTATTGAAACAGAGTCAAGTCCCCAATATTTAACCCTTGTCCACAAGTGTACAAGAAAATGGACTTGAGTCTATCTCACACAGGTGATGGGAAGTAAAAGTGTAGTGTTCTATGAGAGTTCATAAAAAAAAGAATCTTATTTAGATTAAAGGACTGGCATAGGTTTTCCTGAGGAAGTGATGTTTATACTGAGATATCAGTGATGAGAAGTAGGTTCTCAGGAGAGAGAGAGAAGGAGAGCATTTTGCCATTTTGCAAGCCTATAACAAAGTATGCATTAGGGTCTTGCAGTAGGAGAGAAAGCCACTGTTGATGGAACACAAAGAAGGCATGGAGATAATGTAATAGCAGCTACATTAAAATATAACTAAGGGTCAGACCTTAGCAAAGCTGTACAGGTGACCTTAGTGATTGGATCTTTAGCCAAAGAGCAGTGAAAAACCATATAAATGTTTTAAGTAGAAGGAAGATTGTTGGACAAGATCTGTATTTTGCAAAGAATGGTCAGGCTGCAATTTGGAGAATGGATTAAATATTCACCAGAGTGGCTGTGGGAAGATTAGTTAGAAGGCCATATCAGTTAGTCCAGGCCAGAGATTATATTAATTTAGATTAGACTCACTTGGTAGCAGTGAAGACCAATGGAAGGAGATAGATTCAAAAGATATTTAGTAGGCAAAATTTCACATCACTTCATAATGAATTGAATAATATATATAAAGGCCATTAAATTGTTTTGCCCTAACTTATAATGAGTGTTTTACATAAAT